AACGCGAGAATCCTCCCCTAGAAGCTGCTAATCGGACGAGCAGTCACGAGAAAGAGCAGCGGAGTTGCGAATCGATCGCACGACATACGCTCAAACTCTCTCCGGCTCTCCGGCCGGCATTCAGCAAGGCTACCAAGGGATAAAGGGAATGGGACTCACCGTCCGCCATGTTGATACCGTGCGCAAGGGTGTTCGCGTTCAACCCCGCGGTTTATCGACTCACGACCGACACCCTCATCTCACCCCCTCCGTCCTCGCTCGCACCCGGTCTACATATTCGCCAACCCCCGCTCCCGTCTCAGGGATGGCTTTACACATTCGTGCACCTTGAGGCTTCGCCCCCTACTCTTTCACGCTCACATTTTATATTTGATTTTATAAGGGCGACTTGGATTAAACTTGGATTAATTTATTATTAAATAAATATTTATTAAGTAATATTATTTTGTTAAGATATAAATAACATTATTAATGTTTTATTGTTCAATATAAAAAATTAGAAATTAAGAACAATTATATAATTAAAAGTGTTTCTGTAAGGATAGAGAATTTTGTATCAATTTATTTAATCATTGATTAAGTTAATCGAAATTTGCATCATTATATTATAAGATATTTATAGCTTCACGTTCGACTTCTTGCGTTAATTCCATTATCATAATTATTTTTTATAGCTCACATCGTTTTGTTTTATGTAAGGGATAGTAAAAATTATAAAAAATATATAATAAATATTAAACAATTTATATCTATATATTATTTAAATTAATCTGTATTTATCTTTCAACGTTGCATTTTTATATTATGCAGAGTGTGTAACAAATTTGAGAAATCAGCTGATTTGTGCAAAAATTAATTTTTTGATTGTCACGTAGCTATTTGGTTCTTGAAAGAATTTTTAAAATAAAATTTTAAGTATATAAAATCACATTGTTTAAATATTATGTTATTTAATTAACAAATATATTTACGAATAGCGAATACAATTTTAATATGAATAATTATAGAAATATTGAAATTTTTTCTCTTTTTATTTTTGAACAAAATTTTTATATAATTTTTTTATAAAATTTTATACCAGATTTATTATATCGAACTATTAAAATATTTTTTATTTTACAAAAAGGAAAGCACAAATTACACAATGCTACCTAAAATTAAAACGGCACTGTCTCGTCTACATAGCGTCATCTTCGTTTCGCACGTGCGCGATAATACTTAGACAGCCTCGAGGCATCCCCTAGCCACCCTCATCTTGCTTTCCAACCCCTCGAGTATTCTATTGCAATGCGAGTTGTTCTCCCGTACATGCGAAATCATTAAAAAGAATTATATGTGATCTTGCTGAAACGATCCTTGCGACTTTTATTTTAAGTATTTCCATGTAAAATGAATATAGATAAGTCTATTCTTATTGATTTTCCTACTTACACCTATTATTTCTTTCTAAAAAAATTTCCTCGCACATCTTTCTCTTAAATTCCTCGAAAGATCTGCAGTAAAAATATTTTTCATAAATTCAGAACGCGCTCCGCAGAGATTCAGAAATTTTCTTCTGTTTTATATATATATATTCAGGATTTTATTTATTTTATTTTATAAGTATTATCCTACAATTATAATATATAAGTATCCTGTCTCGCAATTTAATTTATCGCAGAAATTTCTGGATTCCACAGATAAAGCATCCTTCCTAATTTATTCAATAAATTCTTTCATTCCGAATTGATTTTAATTTATATTTAGGACATCGGTTTCTTTTCTTTTCTTTTTTTTTTTCCCGTCAACATCAACCGATGATCTCGCCGGTGGTGCGTTTTACTTGACGTAGGTGGTCATGCGTCGATCGATCGATTTGCCACGCCGCGTCGAGCGGCGCCGTTCTTTCTGTCTGGACGAAAGAGCGTCGTCGGCGCGTGCTGCGAATTTTGCACGCGCGAAACCGCACGTCCTTGTTTATTAACGAGATGCACCTTGCTGCGTGCATCGCTATGCTCGGCGCGTTCCGCTTCAAAGACCTCGGCAGAGGCGGTCGCACGAGGAGGAACACGCGCACGCGAGCGATAGAAAAGTACAGTTATTTTTCGATCGACTGTTATATACATAGCGGAGAAGTATTAAGATGAAAAAAAAATTTTTTAAAAAAGAAAAAAAATGTGCAAGAAGGATATCTATAGAGCTCAATTTACTAGCTTGGACGATTAAGACGGTACAATGAGATCTGAATAGTACAGAGAGAAGAAATTGAAGATTATTATCTTATCATAATTTTCTGCAAGAGTCGCTAGATAAAATATTGTTCTTAAGAGCTTGAATATTCTTAAGAGCTTGAATGTTCTTAAGAGCTTGAATATGAATTATAGTTTCTTAATTTTCGAACGGCTACTGACGTTATTATCGGGAGATCAATACATCGTTCCACAGTTAGTCACACAATTTCTCATTCAAATTTATATCATTTTTACATCAATTTGTTCACCGCAGTTTTATATAATTAACTACATTATTCAGGTGATCATTTATAAATAATCGAATTATCGATTAATTTTCTTATAATCCCGTGATCGGAACGTGTATTATCATTTCGAGAAAAATTTTCCGAGAAGCTGAAAATCTCGAATCGACTCATCGTGCGCTATTTAAACAAAATTGTCTACGCCACGGAGAATATTTCGCAAACGGGATTTTTGCGATCTTCATCCCCTGTCATCGTTTTCGCACATTCTTGATTCATGTGTTATATAGATGCAATAGAATTGTACAACCTTCAGGCATATCATTTATGTATTCGATTCACTTACGTCTTCGAATCGACAGGTCACAGGCGGCTCTCCTCTCGCAGGACGCAGGAGAGTCTCTTCGCTGTCCGACGTTTCTCAGGCGCCGTTTTGCAGGAGCCTCGCATCCGCCGTGGCACGCCACCGGGAACGATGCACGATGGATTTACAACGGAGATCTCTCGCCGAGCGTGGAAGCGATCAGGCGCTACGTTACGCTGCGACTCGCTCGCAAAAATACAAAAGGAAGCGCGACGAGTCTTCGTGCGCGGCGCGAATGAGAGGAGACTGCGAGGCCACGGCGTTCAACGTTCAACGTCCCTCTCTTTTTTCTCTCTCTCTCTCTCCCTCTTTCTATCCGATGGTCACCGTTCTCTCTCCTTTCAACCAGCGTCTTCCATCTCCGTTCCTCTCCCTTTCCCTCCCTCGTTCGTCGCGCATCAGTTTCACCCTTCGCGACAACGGAAGAGACGGACGCAGGCGCAAACCCTTCCTCGCTGCGGGGGTTGCTGACTCGATCTGTCCTCTTCTCCGCTTCGCGACGTGATCTCGTGACGAGGGAGACACGCCAATTATCGACTTGCTGGTCGATCTTGATTTGGGATAGCAGGAGTCGACGGCCCCGCGCCTCGTTACGTCGTAATTTCGCCGTGTGTGAATTAATTAACAAGGAAAATTCAATGCAGTTTCACATTTAGATAATTCGATGTTCAATATAAAGTCGTATGTCATGCTATCTTTGCACTAGATAGATATAACTCAGTTAGACATGTAGCACCAATCATAGAAATTTTCGTCTAAGCATTCTGCTGAAAACCGATAGTTGATCCGAAATGTTCATATATGTATATTTCTCAGCAATAGGATATATATATATATATATATATATATATATATATATATATATAGATTTGTGTATTCATATATTCAGTATTTTAAATAATACATGATTTTTGGCAAAATATAAGATTGCAAAAGTCAGTTGTAATATTGCAACATATAATGCAATACATATATGTATATATAAATATAAAACCACGTAAAATGCTTAAATTTATTTTTCTTATTTTAAAACTGTACAATTTATTTTTCTTCAATTATTATGACTAAATTGAAATATGTGTAACTTATAATTTGTTTTGATCCTAATAATACTCCTTTAGTTCTCATTATGTTTTACTCCTTTATTTACGTCTACTACCACCGCCAGCCAATATGGTTAAAACTCGCACGAAGATGTTTAATGTATCCAGATAAATCGAGATTGCACTGTAAGAATAAAACATCATTAATCTTATCTTGAGAAAATTTTAAATATAGAACAAATTAAATAAAAGAAATTAAGATAAAAAAAGTATACTTCAAACGTTAAAAGATTATATTATTTAATGTTTTTATAAACATATTTCAATGAGATTTTTTTCTATTCAACAACAATTCTATCTCTAAGGACTGTCTTTTCAATTACTTACTTATTAATTGGATCGTATGGCCTGTCATGAACGTTATATAATGGATAAGTTTCCGCTTGCTTAATGATCTTCTGCGTATCATAGAGTAGGAATCCAGAGAACAGTACAAGACCGCCATATAAAGCTATAGAATACAATCCAGATCCAAGAACGGTTGTAGGTGGTAAGAACATAGAACCAAGCGAGCTGGCAAACACTACGCCTAAACCAATAGCGAGGGGGCCACCCATTGTCAGGAATTTCTCGTTAGGCGCGCAGATAGCAACCGCTGACAAGCCACCGACTATCCCAGCAGTGTACCAAGCCGCTCGGAGAACCAACGGTCCACCCAAAAGAGTCAATGGGGCTATAACGGCACCCAAGATACCAGTGTGTATTAGCCAAGCCACGTGTTTGCTATTAAATCCTTTCTTGTATGGAAGGGATTGTACAAGCATGCCGCTACCGATCATCGCGGCTAATGTTACACCTATAGCAACCCATCCTTGACGCATCATCAGATTCATCACAGTAGGAGAACGCAGGCACATAGCTGCAGATGCCGCGCTGGCAGCGATGGATGCGCCGAAGTACATATAAGTAGATCTCACTCTGTCCTTGACATATTCGGGCCATAAGCTGGAAAAAATGATTCCATGTTTTTTTACTTTATACTTTATCATATTAGATAGAATTGAATTTAATAAGAAATTTGTAACACAAATAAATTGTATACTGTTTTGGTATTGTTAGAAAGCTCTGAGCTGTAAAAGATATACTTTATTTTACTTATTTATATATATTCTACTTATTTATATATATATATATTTGAAGTTATATAAGTTTATATTTAGAAGTTAAGACAATTAAGAAACAAATCACTTACTGTACATGATCTATGGCTCCTGTTTGTGAAGACAGACCTAATCCATAATAACAAAGAGCACCTAATCCCACTACTGATGCTCCAGCGACTACTCCTTTTCCAATATTAAATGCTGCAACAAAATATAATTATATATCAATAAAACTATATAAATCTAGGCTAACATTTTTGACAACTTCCGAGTCTCAGTAAAAGAATATCTATATGTAGTAAGGACAATTTCATACAAGTCTCATATCAATGCTTGACTTACCTGTTTCACCGGCCGGGGCCATCGCTTGTTCCGCCACGGTGGCCCTCCTCCTGGCGGTCCTCGCGTAAGAACTGCGCCCATCGTTAGCGAACAATCTCACGATTTGGCCCTTGGAGAACGGCGTCGTCGGGATGACCGGAGTTCGAACGAGCGACACCAAGCCTGGTGAAACACCAGCTCGGCAGATCTTCGCTGCCCACATTCTTCCTGTTCCTTTACAATTCCTTGACAGCTCTGCGACCAACAGACACGTTAATTCTTCACGTCATACATGCATGGTTATTACAATCTGTTTACATCAAAATAATTCACGGTATAATTTTGAAAGCTCAAAGGATGAAAGAATCGTTTTCGTTACAAAGCAAAAATTCTCGCGATTTACTCACATGACGCAATAATGGTGCGATTGTTTCTCTACCACATGAGTTGAACGCAGATCAAAGTGGCCGAATGGCGCATGCGGAATAAACGAAGTCGCAATCGCGAGAGCGGTGACGCGCGCATGTTTTTCCTGAAATTTCTCGAACGCAATCGATATGTCGGTAGCGACATTTAAAATAATAACTGATAATAACGCGTATTTGCATGTCACGCTACGAAAAAACAAAACTAGAAACGCTTTTAATAATTCAAATCGAGAAATTTGTGATAATCATAATGTAGATATTTATCATGTGAGATTTGGATAACGAGAAATCGCTTACCTTAATCTTTTATGCCTGGAATTTCGACAAATTGTCGATCGTCATCTAAAATTACAACCATTTATTAAAGATATTTTCATAATTAAAACTAGGATTTTGAAAAAATAAAATTTGTAGAATTTTGCTTCTTTCATATCTATAACAAATATTGAATATATTGTTTGATATTGCTCTTACAGTGAAGTGGATAAGTATTATCAATGCACTAGCCTTTTAATTTTTACCATTACAGACGATATCTCCTTAGTGTTATATGTTACATATGTTAAATACATAAAATAAATATACGTTTTAAAGAGAGAATTCTCTTTCTCATATTTTAAATAAAGGAAACAAACAACATAAAGAATAAAATGGAAAAAAATCTTAGAACTAATCACCATGTATTCATATTTTCAACTAGTAAAAATGGAATTTGTGATATAACGTTACTTAAACAATGTATATATTACTTATAACTTAACGCACTTAAGTTATCTGATAAAAAAAAAAGAATCGTTTACACACTTGATACAAAACACCAGAATTTTTCCAATCGGGGTTTTTTCGTAATCTTGACACACACCGAGTCTAGATTCAATGAATGGAAAGCATTTATTATCAGCGATAAAATTAAATGCACTTTATTGTCGTTTCTCAAGCATACCGTTTGAGAACAAAGTAAGATTCAGGCTGCTAGATGTATTTTACAAATTTAACACATTCGAGAATGACGCGGTCATCACTCGAGCGCGTTAAGTTGAAGGGCTTAAATCTACCTTGAGGTAACAGCGAAAGAGGGTTCGTTGATGCGTACGGATGATAGAGTGCATTATGTAGCCATGGAATGGTAACGTGCATGAATGAACGAGGCTACGCGTGCCATTCGCGAATCAACTAAAGCGCTTCCGATCGTTGTTTCCCGAACTCTCCCAATCGAATCTGTCCTAATTGCTAATAAGTACGGGCCTAGGCGGTATTATCTCTGATCAACCGTCTTTCTTTGTTTATCTTGGCTTATATTGAAAAAAATTGTTTTTCAAAAAGAAAGCTCTAAAATTGTTAAGCAGTTGTATAAGTACGTTGTGCTTTATTGCTTTTGCGTTAATATTGATCACTTATTCGTTGTCACGTTTGGAATTAGATATTTTCATAATAATTTTCCTAACGGATGATTTTCCTTTAGTTAATTGAAAATTGTCTTTTATCTAGATGTACCGAAGAGAAAGGAAATAAAGAAAAGAATGGTCAATCAGAGACATTGCTTATATGACTGCAGAAAATCCACAGATAATGTCGTAAGTGTCTTGCGAATGTCGTGAGCGGAAGAGCACTGTGACAGAATTGTTTTGAGTCTTCTTAAGCCTTCCGAATTTTAATCGGTGACACATATCCACGATATGTCCCGTTTGAATCCTGTTCATTGAATGAAATAATTCTCAAATCTCATATCGCCTATTTGATATTTTTTAAAATTAACCAGGAAAGAGTTATACGTTCACGCAATCCGGCTTGCTGGTGGAAGTCGAGCCAGTCGAGGAGGAGGAAAAGGCGACGGAATGTCTTCTGAGATAGCCGGCGAACAATTGTCGCGCCTGATTAAGTACACGGATCACATTGTGACGGCGAACCATTTTGTCGAAATGCATCGCCATCTCGTTGTAATCCATTTGATTGCGTATAACAAAGTCTCGATGTTGTAGCAGGAGAGTGATGCACAGGAACATTAAAAAGGGATTGCCCCCGCCGAACTCGTGTGGTGGTGGCAATGAATTCTCGCCAAGTTGATCCTCGCTCGTTCCCGCGGGTATGAGATTAGTCAGTTCTGTCGCTTCCTCGCATTGTTCTTGTACAGATTGTTGCTGTTGTTGTTGCTGATGCTGCTGTTTCGTCGGACTCTCGGGTACAGGTGGATTCTGATGCCAACTTTCGCTCCCTTCGCTATCTGACGCCGACTCAGATCTGAAAGATAAATACAAAGTACCTTAACAAAAAAATATAAAAGAATGTTTCTTCTTCGTGTAGCAACTTCGGTATTGATTTCTTTGAAATATTAATAAAGCCGATAGAATTTTGATTCTTTATTTGTACGTATAATAATATGAATTATTCTGTCTTAGCAATATATAATAAAATTATTATACTTCATTGGAATATAAAAACGATACATATAGAAATGAATAAAGATATTCCTCGTTAATATTTTGAAAGTCTTAAGATAAAAGATAAAAAGATAAAAAAATATAAAATTCTTTTATCAGAAAACTAAATCAAGATGGCATTTAATTTAAATTTGTGAGCAACTAAATTTCTTGAAAAGAAACTTTCTTTTCAAATTTTATTTCATAAAAATTTTCAAATTTTCACAGATGAAAGTATATTAGTAAGTAAAGTATATATGTACCTAGTAGTACGTTTCAGCAACCTGATCGGTGTGACGGATTTCACACCGTTCTGATCTTCCAAAATTTCACCGTCGTACTCCAATTCCGCCTGCTCATCCGGAGTCGTAGGGTGCTGCTTTTGTTGTAATGTGTGCAAAGGATTTTCCCACACGAACACATCTGCCGCTGGACTACATCTCGCCAATTCCGTTTCCGTTTCACTCTCCGGTAAGTCACTTTCTCTTTTTGAAAGCACACAATCACATTGTAAATCGCTAGGCGGTGAAGGTCCGAATACTTGTCGATCCAACGATTCCAACTCGAGTCTTAATTCTCTTGTCATCGATGTAGTCATCGGAAAGAAATCCGTGGGATCGTCTGGTGAGCTTGGTTCGTCCCTCAACACTCTGATGACGCCGCTTTCACTCGAGACACGTCTGTGATGTGACGAAATATACTTTCGAATCGTCTAATTTTATGAAATATGATTTGCACGAATATCTTGACTAGAACAAGTACACTTTTTACATGTGAAAGTAATTACCTGAGTTCAGGTTCGGCATCGCTCGGCGTGATTTTACTGCGATTGAGACTAGTAAAGTTCAAGAACTCATTCAAATTCTTCACCACTCGCGCACATTTCTTTTCAGAACTCTCGTTCTGTTCATTGTTTTTAGTCTGTTCCTTATTGGAAACAGATAATCTCTCTTTCAATTCCAGAATATTCGAACGTTTCGATTTAACAGGAAGAGAATCTGTACTTAGGCACTTTTCTGTTGACTCATTATTTCTTCTGTTCTTCGTATTAGTCAAATCATTTTCTGAATCGGAAAATGTTTCATATGGCGAATTGGATCTGAAAATAAGTGTTCAATTAGAAGAATTAAAGTTTATTGAACAAATTTTAACAACGCAAAACGGAAATCAATAAAAAATTTCCATTTACTACAAAATCGAAGAGTGTTAGTCTTTGTGTGTGTTTATATCTTCTTCATTTATATTTTCAATGTATTTAAACTTTATATTTTATTCAAAAAAACGAATAAATTTGAACAAAAAAAAATGTTTTCAAGTACGAGCAATTATGCAAGACAAACCTTTTTGTTTCTCCGTTGACTTCAGTAGATGATTGTAAATTTGATTCCTCGGTGCTGAAGGCTTTCCGCTTCACGCTAGCGGCGATACTGGCCGAGGAACTTTGTCGTCTAATAGCGCAGACTTTGGTATATGCGTTTTCGCGGATGTGCTTCACATTCGGGCTAGGCGGCGGCGATGCTGGTGGAAAAGGCACCTCGGCAAGACTCAATTCGCCAGTCGGCGGTGATGCTGGTAGAGCTGCCCATAAAACTTCAAGCATTCTAAGCGCGTCGTCCAATGCAAACTCACGTTTCATTTCCAATAATAGCCAACGATAACAAAAGAGCAAATCATCCGCTTGATGGGACTTTAAGTACGCATAAAAATCAGGGTCGTAATGTTGAAGCCCTGCGTAGAAATGTCTTAATATAATGATATTATCTTATTATATTAATGATATTAAAAATATCTATTATATTAATGATATTAAAATGTATTAAAATGGAATAGATTTTTTTTATATAGATATAAAACTGAACGAGATTAAAGATTTATAATAAATAAAAAAATAATTGCTTACCTTCTGCGAGATGAGCAAACTTAGTAGTCATGGCGATGCCGTCCAGCATAAAGTTGTCCTTCAACCTTCTCATGAGGGCGCAAAGACAGATATAGGCCTGCGCTTCGTCCCGCATTGTAACAAGAAGAGGCGAGGCCAGATCGCTCATGCCCTGACAATAACTTACACTCGGATGATTTAAGGCATACGTTGTCAGAATGTTAAAAAGACTTGCTGTGTTCTGATTATCATCTGAACCACCATAAAACTTGTGATGTCTGTCCGTTCTGAGAACGTCTTTCCTCACCATACCAGTGACATAGCCAAGATCGCCGACATTTTGCCCTTTTTGCACCAACACACGCCATCGTTCGCGCAAATTTTGGTATTCTTGCGCCTTCCTCTTCATGTAGTCCATCCGTTCGCGACCTGACATTCCCTCCGGATACACGTTCAAGATATGTTTCCAGACTACTTTGCGTAGGCTAGGCTCGATCCCACCGAAATAAATAACTGCTCTTAGATCCTTGGAGTGCACTACTTGGCCGATTGGATCTAGAAATCGGCGAAACTCGGCATCTGTTAGTGGTGGTCTTGGAGGCTGAACATTCTGCTGATGAGATTCTTCACCTAAATTGCCCAATGCACGTTGCACCATATTCAATGTCCTTTCCATCTGTGATGAAAGATTAAGAAAACGAAATTGGATACATTATCTACATCTATTAACTGTAATAAGTATGAAAATAAAAAATAATAACAAAGTAAAATATAATAATCGAAAAGATATAAAAAAAGTAAATAAAAAAGTAAAAAAATAATGAAACTAAAATGAAAAATAATTTCGATTGCCAAAATTTGTGTATAATCTTTAATGGAATAAAAAGTAGACACTGAAAAATTAGATCGCGTTTTATCTTTCTTGACTTTGTTGTAGGAATGTTAAGTGTTTTTAATATTATTTTGTGATTGCCAATTGACAGTGAAGGTGCTAGGACACTTACTTTATTCATTATGAGACCGGGCAGCTTAGGTGTCCTATAAGGAAACCCAGTTTCCTGCTGACGTGTCGAAACTTCCTGTGCATTTTGCTCCCAGTAGCATTCACAGTCTCCAGTTTCGCCGAAAGGTTTCAGATTTACTTGCAGATAGAGATATGGCTCGGACGCACTGAAAGATATCATTAGATTAAAGTGTTCATACTTATCAGAATATATGATATATAATATATCCGCTGTATACTTCATAGTATTATCTATAATTTTATATTATCTATTAAGCAATGATAATCACTTGATTACCTGATAAACGCGGCGTCCAAATCCCAGTCTGAGAGTAGGAAAAGATACGTTTCCGAACCATAGTCGTCGATCGCTCGATAGGAAACAGTGAATTCTCTACGGCACGTGAATAATTTTTACTCTGCTTAATATTTCACGATATACTTTGATATTTTCAAGGATATTCGAGACATGTATTTGTCTAATGTTTTCGTAATGTTTTATATATTGTTGTTTTATATGATTTTAATGACGAAAATGAAACACATAAAAATCTAATCATGTCATTATAAATAAAAAAAAGAATTATTATATCATTAAAATATAGAATACTTTTTCTAATATACTTTTAAATATAAATCGATTTATATAAAAAAATCTTTTTAACTGTATTTTTAATATAAATTTATTTAAAAATTTATATCTAATAAATATAATATATTTAAATCAGATTTTATTATTATTAGTATGACTTACCCTTTTATATCAAAAGCCTTGATTAGAATACTTTGCAGCACTTCTATGGATGTTATTTGAGGATCCACACTAAACTTACGATATTCTGGTTGATGCCGAGTTTCACATTTCTAAAAAAAAAATATCTCTATTATTTTTCATGTTTGAAACAGGCAACATACAGATAAAAGAAAAGAAAATTCATACATATAAACACCCATAATTTATAAATTCTTATATTTATAATTAATTTATATAACATTAATTATATAATATCATAATTTAAATAATACAGCTACACAATACATTTCTCATTGAATTTATTGTTTCATTTATTGAAACATAAAAAACTTTTTTTAATTAATATAATTTTATTAAAATTTAAAAAAGTTGATTGACCATATATACCTTAACTTTGACACGTACAGCTTCTCTGGGACAACCAAACATATTGCCTGTATTTTGTATCACTTCTTTCTCAAACAAATATAATATTTCAGAACAATTCTTTAATTGTCATAATCTTTGTATGCTTTTAATTCTTCATGTATTGACAATTCATATATGTATATATCATCGATTTTAAGCGTTTACCACATAGTTGTATCAATACTGCAATAGTAGTGGTGAAACAGAATAAACTACAAAAAATGATAGTAAAAGTTTAAAATAGTATAATTAACATATGTGTTGATAAGACAATATTAACCAATCATTCTTTTATCTAAATGGAACATATACTTTTAAAGTAATATTAACTGTAGATTATAGAAAATCATTTATTAATATAAAACATTACCAACCATAATTTATTACAATGGAATATTAATAATTTAGATATGCAAAATTGTTGCTAATCAAGATTGAAAAGTCTCACATATAACAATTACTATGTCTTCTCATGACACTAATAAATTTATCACAATTGTCAGAGCAATAATAATAAATTAAATTCCCCGATATATCAAGATATTTCTTTTGAGTCTCTCACGTTACCTTGCACAATCGCATAATTAATATCTTCATTATTTATTCTTTGCCCTTCATTTTGCGATTATTTCACATAATTATTTAATAATCCGCCGTTTCCACGTCTGGCAACGTTTTCCTCTGTCGATTAACGGACACCAAGCGATATTTGGACGATGAATAATCGCTCAAGAGACGCGTGCGTGCGTGCGTGCGTGCGTATATGTGTGTTCAATCCGCGATGTGTGTTCCGTAGTGCAGAAGGCATTTCTCGTTGCGACGAGACATGTTCGCTTTCTAACTCGCCTAATTATGCACTCAGGATGGCCATGTGTCTCTGGTTGGTGCACAGAGCGATCGGGGGAGCCGGGAGAGGGATCCAAAAGGTCGGGGCGAGTATCGATGCCGACGGCGATCGGTGTTTCGAGCGCGGGGGAGACGTGGGCGGACGTCGTCCCCAGCTGTCGTCGATGGCCGCTGTCGTTAACGTCCGACGTTGCTCGACGTTGTCGTCGTCACCACCATCGCCGTCGCCGTTGTCGTGACGCCGACGTAACAACTCGGTGACGAGGTTACCAGCGTCAGTCGCGCGCTCACTGAGCGCACCGAACGTATTCGATTTTTGAGGCCGTCCCAGGAACGACGCGTCCTACCTCGTCGCCCCGGTCTTTCGAACGTACTTTCGAGAATCCGCTTTCAGCCTAACCTTTTTGAAATTTACGACGCACGAAGCGTCGTATAAAAAATCAAGATAGATGTTTAATTTAGGTCTTTCACTTTTAAATTACATGAATTTACATCCATTCAATGTCTTTTATTTAGATACAATAAAACATTATCTTTAATGCCTAATTACTATTTTCTAGATCAAAAAACAATTTTTTTTAAATTTTTGTTTTTATATTAAAAAGAAATCGTTTTCGTTTAATTTTAGGTGACAGATCTAAAATAAATATTTACCTTAATTAGGGTGCGGTCAAAGTCTCATTACAGATGCTTTGAAGCGTTTGATTGATCAAGCGTTTGATTGATCAATCAGAACAATGAATTTTATCAATTAACCAATTACGAAATATTTCGAAGAAAATTTGTAGCATCAAGTGACTATATCCTTAAATATAAAAAGATGGAAAAAGTGAATTAATTTGATTTAATTCACTTTTTATCTCTAATTCTTAGAATTAAAAAAAAAACAGATGAAAAATAAGTTAAACCAAAAGAAGTTTGATAAATATTATGGTGAATCTGCACCTTTGATTAGAACAGTTTATAAATGGTTTCAAATGGTTTCGGAGTGGCCAGTGAGCACAAGTGACAGCTGAACATTCTGGATACCCTGTTGAGGCTACTACTCCAGAAATCATTGATATCCATGATATGGTAATGGATTATAGAAGAATCAAGGTGCGTGAGATTGCTAGTGCCGTGGGCATCTCGAGTAAACGGGTACATAATATTTTGCATCAACATTTGGGTATGAAAAAATTATCTGCAAGATGAGGGCCGCGATTGCTCACAATTGACCAAAAACGAAATCGTGTGAAGTGTTGATGTTGTTTCCAAGGAATGTTTGCAGCTGTTCTAGCGGAATCCACAGGACTTTAGGCGTCGTTTCATCACTGTGGACGAAATATGGATACACCACTACACGCTTGAGACTAAAGAACAGTCCAAACAATGGGTTGCCAGCGAGGAATCTGCACTAAAGAAGGCGAAGACCATTCCTTCGGCCGGGAAGATTATGGCGACTGTCTTTCGGGATCCGCAAGGAATAATATTCATCGACTGTATGGAAAAGGGTAAAACTATTACTGTGAATATTATTCATCGTTATTGGAAATCGTTTGAAAATCGAGCTGCAAAAGAAACGTCCACGATTGAACCACAAGAAAGTCCTTTTCTATCACGACAACGCATCAGCTCACTTCTCCGGAGTTGTGGCCGCAAAATTGATGGAGTTACGGTTCCAACTCGTTCCACATCCTCTCTATTCTTCAAATTTGGCTCCCTCCCGGACTACTACTTATCCCCCAATGCGAAGAAATGGCTAGCGGGAAGAAGATTTCATTCAAACGAGAAGGTGATTGCGAAAACGAATGCTTATTTTGCACAATTGGACCAATCATATTAGGAAGGGATCAATAAATTGGAGCAGCGTTGGACGAAGTGTATAAGCCTAAAAGGAGACTACATTAAAAAATAAAAAGGTTTATTCCGAAAAATTAAGTAGTTTTCATTTTTGCACGGACTTTTCAAATCACCTTCGTATATATATATATATATATATATATATATATATATATATATATATATATATATATATATATAAATAGTTTTAAAAATGTATATAAAGTGATACTTTGTATATATCATTAATGTTTGACATAATATTGTACATTACCAAAGACAAAGAGATCATCAAACGTTGTCTTAATTACAAGTTATCCACTACTTCGTTAGTTTCTACTACGAACTAAAATAAAAATAAAATCTGAATATAATATTCTATTGTTGTCGATATAATATATTAAAGCTTAAAGCCTGTTACATCTGTACAAATAAATTTGTATAGATGCTATACACATATACGAAAAGTCAACTAATGCGTGTAGAATTTTACATTTTTACAGTGAATCGATTTTTTTTATTTCAAGAATCGATTCACTGGATTAATCGAAGTATGTAAGATCGATCTAAAAAATCGAGAATCGAATACAAAAGAATCGATTCTTCGAAAGATTCAAGATCGCCCATCCCTAGTTCCGTGTGTCGTCTGTAGTCGTCCGTTCTCAGCTGACGCGGATGATCGCGCTGGTCGTGTTTGTTTACGTGCCGGGGCTCCTCTGACAATGCGCTCCTCCGACACTTCGCGCTCGTGCCGGGCCGCGTGATTCGGAAAGCGATACGAAACAGGAGGAAGGACGGTGCGCGCTCGACGGGATGATCCGCGCGAGTATTCTCTTCTGGCGGTAAGGTTATGTCTACGATTGTCGGCTCGACGACCGGACCAGCGATAGTGCTCGGACAAGTACGCTTTTTATCGGGATACGAACGATTTCGTGACGATGAGGACGGGCGGCATGCTGGACGGCCGTGAGTTCGGCAAGTGCGTGCGCCGCCTCCTGGACGGCAATTACTCGTATCGCAAGGTCCTCCTGATCGTCCTGGTGTGCGGCGGTCTGCTGCTATACTTTGGTCCGCCCATCGCGCAGTGGCTCTTCTCTACCACTAGGGAGCCTATAGAAGGTACCTTGTTTCGGTCTTCGAATATACCAGAATTGTAATTTTGCAAAATATCTGCTATAAATTTTGTAAAAAATATAATGGAATTTGCTAACGGAATATAATGTCGGATTAACTGTGAAGATAGAGCAGAATCTATTGCTTTTTAATTATTTAAATAATGTATTCCGTTTAAGTGTTTACGAAATGATTCTGCTTGATTTTTTTCTGTCAGATTCTGTTCAGATTCTGTCAGCAGACTCACCTAGCAAGATATGAGCTTAATATGGACATAGATGATTTGTTGTAAGATTCTGAATAAATTTATTGATATATTGCTAAAAGATTGCTGGATATAGAAGTTCTTTTGAAAATCTATGAAAGTATCTATATAAATAGATCTATGTTATCTCTTTTACTCAACGATTTAGAATAGTAAATAAATAATTAATATAATCTAATTATTTTCTGAATTGAATTTAAAATTTTTTTATATGTTATATTATTAATTTATTAATTATTTTAATAACATAATATTTAAAAACAACACATTAAAAATTTTCTTCTCAACAATTAGTTTATTAAACAAATTCAAATAGCAATAATTTTATAACATAGTATATTACATAAAAAAGTATTTCTCAGTTTTTCAGAATTTATTTTAAAACATTAAATACATTTGATTGAATTTTACTGTTTTATATATAGTTAAAAATTTCTATTACGTCTCTCTGGAATAATTACTATAGAAATGCTAATGTGTATGCTTTTCTGCAGCATTTGAGGATCGTTGCATGAATGAGAGACTAGCTAGTTTCTATTTTGATGCTGTTGAATACAACGCAAATATTCTGCATAACCCACCTAAGGAGAATGAACATTCTTATCTGCCATACATTGGTAATGGCGTATTTGGCGTTCCCGTCTCTCCGGAAGGCTGGCTGTACATTAAACACGGGAGAGCACTTTTGCTATCTGTGCCGTGGCAACCATTAATCTCACATCTCATACCCAGAGATAGTTTCTATCGAGAAGCAACTATTGTTCACTTTACAAACGGTATTGTTTATAAGTATCAGTGCCTTAGAGAGGGATATCATACAGAATTTCAATATTACGCTCATAGAGGTCTCGACGGAATATTGATGCAGACTGTAAAACTTTCTAATCCATTTTCACTCTCTCAAGAAGTACCATTGAAGTCACAGGAATCCACTCATTGGAGTAATTCTCACATAGAGCCTGTCAGGTAAGAAATAGTGTTGCTTTATATAATTAAACGCTTATGGGCATTTAATTCATCATTTATTTTTGAATGTTAGAATTCAGGTTGACGGGCTTAATTATGATTATACCCTCGTATCTGGATTTGTGTCCGTGCCTAACTCCAATAAGATAATAGTTGTATCGATAATTTATAAAGTTCCACCTAAAACGGTGCAAGTGAAAGCACATAGCTCCGTCAAGTTGGAATTTCTGTCGAGCATTCAATACAGTGAGCTAATTTCATCTGAACAATATCATGTGGAACGCGATGCGACTAAGAAGAGGGCTATTGATGTAAGCAAATAAAATTTTTTAATTTATCGTTTTTTAAAGAGGAAAGATTTATTATTATTCTTTGCTGTACAGTTGATAAAAAAGGCAATTGCGCGCCAGCAACGAAATTTGAGAGAGGAACACTTGAATTTCTGGCAGAGTTACTGGTACACAAGTCTGAGAATAAGTGATTCCAAGGCCGACAACGCCATTAATGGCCACAAGATTAATTCTACCATGTATTATGTATTATCTCAGGTGTCGCGGAGTGCTCAGGATGTCGAAAAAAATATTGCTATGAACGAGGGTTGCTATCGAGGTCACCATACTTTGTAAGGATCGTGATTAGAATCGTGTTTGTAAAATGATTATATAAAATCATTTATGTGTTACAATTATGTTTTTTTCATTTAGGGATGCTCCACGTTTATGGAAAGATACTTCGACTATCGACGCTGTGAATGAGATAGTCGAAGCATGGTTAATAACGTTGGAGAAGCAAGGTTGTCATCATTTGGTGACTGGAGGTCCTGCAGCTGTACAGCAGGCGATTGTGTTGAGTCTCGGTAGTTTGAGATTTAGTAATCAACATCTCGAATTTAATATCGATCCTCAGTATCTTCATCGCGACTATTTATTTAGGTACGTTTTATCTATTATCACGAAAATAATTTATTAAAGTATAATTAAAATTGCAATATAAGATTATAAAAACTTAATTTAACAAAATTCCTCTTTTAAATTATAATATCCCTCTTATATCTTTCTCTTATATCTTTTTTTGCGATATAATTCTTATATACATATTTTTTTTACAGTTAATGAAATAATTTATAATTGCTGGAATTGTATTTCTTTTTTCAGGAGAATAAGTTACGGGAATGTATCGCACGTAAATATATCTGTAACAGTTGGTGAAGATAATCGTGCGATATTAGGAGTAGCTTTGGATAAAAGTGATAGTGTTTATTATGGATGTGATGCTGGTTGTTTGGACGCACCAGTTCCTCTTGATCAAACCTATACGAAATTTCCCGTAAAGTTAACAAAACCATTAACCGCGATACTTTATATAACTTCCGATCATCAGCATATGCAAGAACTTCGTAATGCTCTACATGTACACGAAGTGGATGATGGTATGTTAAAAATTAGATACAATTTAAATATTTTTGTATAGATTAATTCCCCTTAATTTTTGTTTCGCTAGAGAATTTATATTTGAAAAGACAAAGTTTTTTTTATGAAAAAATATTTTTTTACATTAAGATTAAAAAAAGAACTTATTTTACATTTTTTTTTTTTCCAGCGCCAGCACATGATCACCAAGTAATGGCTTTGCACAAGCATGGACATCAGCTCGGAGGTTTGCCTACGTTGTTCTGGGTTAGCATATGTTTTTTGATAATTGTGTTCCATCTCTTTCTATGTAAGTTAATTTGTAATGAATATTATGGTCATCAAGATCGGCAGCGGATCCGATATAATAAACCGTGATATAATTGTACATAATTTTTTTGTTGATATGAAAAATGTACATATGTACTTTATATAACATGTATATATATATATATATATATATATTTTTGCAAATCACAGGCTCAACAGGCTAATTATATTTTCAAGTGAAGCGTAGGTATGAATGAACGTGTATGTATGTACGTGTATGTATGTATCTTGCTGTATAAATCGTATTTTTATAGCATTCATTGCTGTGAATATATATTTTGCAGTTATTGTAAATTATCATTTTTATTCATTGATAATTTATTATATTTTAAGTGATTTCATTTTTTTAATACAAGAGAGAAAACATGCTTTATTCCAGATAATAAATTATGTGATATAATCATGGATGTAATTTTCTGATGACAAGATAGAGATATATGTGAACATTTATTTATTGATTTCTCCAAAATCGGTTTCTCTTGATATGCATTATATAAAATAGCTGTTCTTGTATATATTTTGGATAAATAGGATAATAAGAGGAGAGGAATGTAAGATTGATCACATTTAACACTAATTATGCAACAAAAATAATTTGTTGATAACATTTATTAGAGAATATGTTAAACATATAAATTGTACTACAAAGTAAATAAATGCATATATAATCAATATAATAACGTAGGACAAGTATTAAGTAGAGGTACAAAGATCTACCAATGATAAATGATACTTGCCTAATGATAAGATAATAAATGTGGCTAAGTGGCTCCTGGAATGTTCAATGACTATCATTAAGATCGTTGACAAAACAATAAATGGCAGTAACTGATAGGACTGATTAATCCTCACCTGACTGAAATATATTTAAAAACATAATATATACAAATAAAATGATACACATAAAATAATTTTATTGTTTACAGAAGATTAAAAAGTAGTGATTTTTGACTTTTCTACATGACATTAAAAGAAAAAATATAGTAATTTCCAAAATTTCTTAGGGGATTTAGAATAATTCGATATGTATATTGATAGAAGAAATTTGGAACGAGCCAATTTTTGAAGTTTTTAAGTCACTGTATAAAATTAATAAACAAATAAAATGATGTTTACTACTTAGATGTATAAATTGTTTTTTCATTTCCATAAAAAGGAATACTTTACGAGTAAAAAAAGATTTGAAAATTTATCCGTTATTATTCCGGTCCTAGTGAGGATTAACGATAAAAGTGAATCTTTTATGAAGATTAACATCTAGTTGGAATACAAACGGAATGAATTGACAGCGACGTTTAAATCGTATCGATCTAAAGTCGCAACCAAAAACGATAAATTCCTGTACATATTCAACACGGACAGCGTGTTGCAGGTTCGATAACGTTATAAATTATCGCGGATTACATTCATTAACTTAAGTTCCTTATTAATTGACGTATGATGTTTACGTTGCGCGTTTCCAATGCGTGCGACGCTTATAAAAAAATTTGTATCTCTGCGGAGAGACCCGTTAATCAGTCTAAGTTCGTATAATCTATCAACGACTTAACGTACAATGAGATCGTACAACCAAGATTAATATCGCTGGTTGTTCTTGCGACATAACTTCCATCCTTTAGCCCGAAAACGGATAGGCAAACTCGGAGCGTCAAATACGATTGAAAATAGTAACTAAGTACAATTAGGCCCACGGAACCGCCGTTCTGGAAGAAAACTCGGGAATATTGAAAATAAAATAAATCATCTTTTCTCCGAAATTGGAATTAACCCTCCCTCGAATAAGAGAAATTCTCAGCGGAGAGATACGTATATATTTTAGCTATAAGAAAAGTTAATTGTTAGTTTACTTCTCGATTTGTTACAATATATTTATGCTCTTATGGGCTTCTCTTCGTATTACCGCTTTGTACGTGATGTATCGAATAAAAAAAAAAAAAACTTATTTCACGGTCGAAACGATCTCGAATTAGTGACACATGTAGTCATTTAAAAAAAAAAGGCAATCAATAGATGAGAAATATAACGAGGCGTAATTTTGTTTAAAGTTCACGGAGTTGCTAGGTAACACCATACGTGCAACTATGTAGATTAAAATGTTTTATTTTGTAATATTATTTATATATAGGAAAACGTTGTGAAAGACAACCGAAAGATATTCAAAAGACGTTCTAAAATAATTAGTTGCTATAACAATAAACGTACAATCTGATGTTAATTATAATCGGCATTGCATTGTGGCATTACAGCGGTTCTTTATTTCTCTGCTTGAATCTCTTCATTTTCTTCCAAATCAGAGAAGAAATGTTTTTAATGGTGGTATCGAAAGTTCAAGTACAATTACGTAAATGTACAAAATAATCCAATGGAAGATTATAAGCAAGGCTATCTGTAACATGGAATTCGAAAGGAACTAGAGTTTTAACATCGTTTAGATTTAATTCGAATCTTATTCACGAAGATATATATATAAATGGCTCTTTAATGCCGCTGCTTTCGCACACATTTAATATCGCGCGCTACGTATATATCATGTTGTATATTACGTATCTAGTGTTTTTTTTATTTACAAAATCTTATCGGGCGTACTTTAGTACATCGATTTAACGCTTCAAGAGAGACGACGATTCCCGCATTCTTAATTATCCTACGAGATATACGGCACGTAATTATACCTATAGCATAACGTTAGTTCTCCACAACATTGTGCTAACATCGATTTTTGGCACCGTGAATATATATATATATATATATATATATATATATATATAATAATTATTAATAGTACT